TACTGCGTGCCCTCTCGCTCTACAGAGATTTAATCTTGATTGTGATCTCAGATGAATCGGATTCTTCATAGATTCTTTCGAAAGGATTCCTAGATTCATTGTCAAGCTCTTATCTAAATACTTCAGTGATTAAATACTATTTCTCACATAAATATCAAACGTTATATAGTGCGCCAAGATAATAATTCAACTGTTCTCTAGAAAAATTTCTGTTTTTCAGAGAAAACCTATGAAAGTGTAACGTCGTGTGCTTCGTCGTTCATTGAGGATCTCTCTGCTGAAGAAATGAATGTACATGGAAAACGTATCGTAAGGGACTACATGGCCGGGATTATTCACGTTCGCGAACAACTTTCGGCTGCAAGAGAACGAAGAAAAAGGTACAGTAACAGAACTTAGGACCCCTTAGTAGGGACCGTAAAGTCGAGCAACCAGATGGTTTTTGAAACCTTTGAGTTCTTGACTGTAACCCCATGCTAGCAGCATTCTCAAACGCGTCCCGTCCTAGAAGGGTCTCGACGCAGAATATCCTCTGTCCCTTTTTTTGCATTTCTGACATTTCTGTTTGAAATGCCTAAGAAATATCAAGTGCTGCAATTCCAGCCTTCTAGTACAGTAGTCAGTCATTTTTGGATTTCACGTCCCCTTTTTTCTGTTTTTTTTTCTGAGTAACCCTCTTCAAGTGTTTTGGTTTTTTTGAGATTTTGATTTTTAGGTGTCTTGAATTGGTTGACGTCCGTCGATTAAAGTTGCAACAGTTTACACAACTCTTCACCTGCGAGAATGACGCCCAACAGGTGAAGTTTACGCTGCGATAGAAAATCCTACTTCATGCTTGAGCTGTTCCTGGGGCTAATTCTCTGCCCAAGTTTTGCGAACCTTCAATCCATTCGTGGGGTATAATGAGTACCACAACTGTACTGGTAGTCTAAATAATGACTTGAACGATGCTGGCATTAAAACGCATATATGGCTCAAAGGGAAGTCAAATGCGTGGCTCACCCAAAACTGAATGTTCCACATTAAACGCTGAGGGATTTTTCTGTGCCGAAAACCGATTGTTTCGACTGCCGCTTGCTATTCTTTCACGATTTGTACCCTAACGTACACCAATTTTCTAATCTATCAATAAGTAGGATAGTGAGTATGACTGAACTCGATGGAGATCAAACTTGCGAGGATACATACCTAAAATAGTTATTTTAAGCTATCTATCTCCACTGTGAGGCATCTGTGATGGCGTCTTTTGGCTTTTTGAGGGTATCCTAAGGTCACATTCAGGCAATAAAGTGGCTCGAAGAACTGCACGACACCCTTCTGAAGGACTACAATCAGATGGGCTGTGCCGATGAAGACCTCCGCCATTTACGAGAGGATCGAATGAAACTTGAGGAAACTGCAAGAGTATGCTTCCCATTCTTCATTTCATCGCCTTTTCACTATTACTGATTTACGTACTAGTTCGTTTGAGTAAACAAATAGTACAATATTCAGAGCACGTACGAATATGGTCGACAGTTGTGCCAGGTGGCATTGGTCTTACGTAGATCGCTGAGGATGGATGTGAAAAATCAGGTCAGACCGAATCCCTGGACTTTATTTACCAACCATTACTTCGTAGTTCTATGCTCGTTAGTTTCGCCATACCTTCTACTGAGACGTTTTTTCCCTGAATCAGGGTTGCTATTGTACCACCGACAAAGACTTTTCTGTTTACTAACGTTTGTATTGTACTAGTCTACCATATCGCTCCCCCCTTCTTTACAGATAGGATTGAATGAGAAGCTGGAGCAGACATGGGGACGATTATGTCGAGCCCTAAGCGAGAATGAAGCCAAGCTGAATGTCACTGAAGCATTTAACACCACCATTGTTGAGGTAAGATTTCTCCAACTTGAATCTGTCCTGCAGCCGGACAGAGATTGATATCGGTAGCCCAACTGCTCTCTGAATCACTAGCTTTCGAAGCGTCTTGTAAGGGGATGGTTTTTCTGGATCGATTCGTTATAGAGGGTCATTTCAGGTTAACCACCGTATAGATGAACTTGGTCAAAGAGTAAACGAAGTACGCGACTCACAATTAAGTCCGGAAAAGGTCTGTGCCGTTGAAAGACGACGTCTCAACAATGATATCCAGGAACTGCGACATATTGCTGACATGTTGATAGCACAAGTGAACGCCAACCACAAGTTAGTTTTTATTTGTTTACTTAATTCATTTATTGACTTGTTTATTTATTTATTAATGCGCCCATTCCGAAATTTGTATCTTAGTCGTAATCAGTAGCATAATCATTGAACGATTCCGATTTTTCTCCATTCCCTAAGCCTCAGAGCTCCTGCGCCGGTTGTCGATCGTAATAATCACCAACTATTTTTTGACTTCCTGCTTATTTAATTATTCTTTTTTTAATTTGTCTATTTTTATGCCCTGCCGTCTCTAGTGAATCTAGCCAATGTCGCCAATTTCAGTGTCACACCAGAAGCTCGCCAAGCAGCAATTTTATCGATTCGAAGAAAAGTTGATGGGGTCGATTCGGCTCATCGTCGAATGGAAAGTCTGTTTGTGGAGACAGCTGCCTCAAGCCGTAGTCAATCTCTACACCGTCTCTCAATTGGGCAACAGTCACCATCAGAAGAATCACCACGTCAGTACTACCATGCGACTGGTACAGCTCGACGGCCATCAGGTCAAAGCCTGCCTCCCGCACAACCTGTGGGTAGTATACGTCTGAGTGATACTGAAAGTTACTTATAAAATAAATTCTACTTTGAAATTTCCGAAATTAAGCTAAATTTTTCAAAAATACCTGAGTTTCTCTGTTGGATACTAATCCATAGATGTTAACATTGTTATTATTGTAAAAGAGTAAGCTCATCAATTAAGCGGGCATTTCATGGTTGAGCCTTGTATAATTCTGACTTTCCTGACGGGAACAAGGATACATGCATACTTTCCGATATTATATAGTTATAATAGATAGTAAAAAAGATTTCTTCAATTTTTTGTTGCATTTGACCATCAGATTTCCATGTTATTCCGGTTGCACTTTTGTTTTTCTTTTCTTTTCTATGCTTGTTCTCAATGTCAATGAAATGCCAATCAATAAATATGATTTCTTCATCATGCTCACATGGATATAGCAACGTGGGATTGCCCGCATACCATCGGCACTGCTAGTGAGGTCGAAGGAGATAAATTCTTTGATCTTGTCTGCTTTACCATCGCAGATCAATAGGTAAGCAGTAAACTAAGCAAGTTTCAATTGAAAATTAAAAAACTTTTTCCTACAG